AATTGGTCCCAGGCCCCAGGGCTGTAAATGGCAAAGCTGGGACCCAAAGCCACAAGGCCCAGCTGGAAAGTCGCAGTGGCAGAGACAATGCTGGCCTTGCTGTCTGAAGAATGGGGCCTAGGTTGGTGCTGCCCTTTACTAAGTATGACCTGGGCTTGTCCATCCACCTTTCTGTCACTGAAGTAGATAGAATGAAGTCTATAGAACCTGTCCTTGCCTGCTGCATTTGCCAGGAGTATCCCAGCAGATGCTTTGCAGGCTAGAAGGGGGCGTGAGTGGGGGTGGAGCATATGGTTTATGGTTCTTCCTCAAGGACCTGTTCTGACCCAGCCAAGACTAAGTAAAACTTATAACTGCACAGTTCTGACCTGGGACCACTTTTTAAAAAATTGTGATGAGCCAGGTGTGGTGGCTCATACTGCTTATCCCAGCACTGTGGGAGGCTGAGAAGGGAGAATTGCTTGAGCTCAGGAGTTCATGATTTGCCTGAGTAAGAGTGAGACCCCAACTCCTAAAAAAATGAAAAACCCAGGTGGGCGCTACTGCGAGTGCCTGTAATCCCAATGGCTTCCAGAGGCTGAGGCAGTGGGATGCCCACAGCCCGAGTCTGAGGTTGCAGTGAGCTATGACACCATTGTACTCTGTCTCAACAACAACAACAACAACAAAAAAAAATTGTGATGAAATATATGTAACATAAAATTTACCATCTAAATCTAAAAGTATATTTTAGTAGTGTTAAGTACATCCACATTGTTGTGCAACCAATTTCCCCAACTTCCACAAGTTTTTCACTTGTAAAACTGAAACTCTATACCCATTAAACAACTTTCATTTCCCTCTTTCCTTCAGTCCCTGGAAACCACCATTCATCTTCCTGTCTTTATGAATATGACTACTGTAGATACCTTATATAATTTGTTTTCTTCTTAAGGCTGAATAGTATTCCATTATATATAGGGTTCAACAGTGAACCTCAGCCTCTGGGCTGGGTGCTTTCTGTTTTGGATGGTAATTAATTATTGATTCAAATTCTTAAATATAGGCCTATTTAGATTGTCTATTTCTTTTTGTGAGTTTTGGCAGATTGTGCTTTTCAAGGAATTGGTCAATCAAATTTGTGGGCATGGAGTTGTTCATGGTATTCTTTTACTATTCTTTTAAAGTCTGTTGGATCTGTAGTGATGTCCCCTGTTTTCAATTCTAATATTAGTGATTGTGTCTTCTCTTTCTCTTTCTTTGTTAGCCTAGCTAGAGGGTTATTGATTTTATTGATCTTTTCTAAGAACTACCTTTTGATTTCATTGATTTTCTCTATTGATTTTCTATTTTTAATTTTATTCTTCTGCTTATGGATATCTAGTTTTCCCAGCACCATTTCCCACTCAATGGTCTTGACATCCTGTCAAAAATCACTTGACCAGCTCTGTGCTTGTAGTTCAGCAGCTAGGGTGCCAGCCACATACACCCAAGCTGGTGGGTTCAAACCCAACCCAGGGCCTGCCAAACAACAATAACAACTGCAACCCCCCCCCAAAAAAAAGTAGGGCATTTTTTTGTGTGGCAGGTTCCTGTAGCCCCAGTTACGTGGGAGGCTGAGGCAAGAGCAGTGGTTCTCAACCTTCCTAATGCCACAGCCCTTTAATATAGTTCCTGTGGGTTGCAACCCACAGGTTGAGAACTGCTGGGCAAGAGGCTCACTTGAGCCCAAGAGTTTAAGGTTGCTGTGAGCTGTGATGCTACAGCACTCTACCCAGGGCAACATAGTGAGACTGTCTCAAAAAAAAAAATCACTTGACCGTATATGTAAGGGCTTATTTCTGGACTTTCTATTCTATTCCATTGGTCTATGTGTTTTCATGCCAGCACCATACTATAGCTTTGTAGTCAGGTTTGAAATCAGGAAGTGTGATATCTCCAACTTTGTTCTTCCTTTTAAAGATTTTTAGGTTTTGACTATAAGGAAGTCCCTTGAGATTCTGTATGAATTTTGTTCTATTTATGCAAAAAATGCCATTGGGATTTTGATAGAGATTGCCTTAAATCTATAGATTGCTTTGGGTAGTATTGACATCTTAACACATTGCTGACTGGTCATAAGTTACCCAGTCACATGGACAGTTTCTGTGTAAAATTGCTGGTCAACAATGTGTTAACATAGCAGCTATTCCCTGTTTTCTCCCAGTCTCAATTCCTAGTTGTCCTTAATTAAGTCTATTCTATTCTTTTTCCCCCTCCCCATCTCTCAGCTGTTTATACCATAGAATCACTCAGTGCCTTTAATATCTTAACACACTGTTGATCTGCAATTTTATACAGCAGTGGTTCTCAACCTTCGTAATGCCATGGCCCTTTAATATAGTTCCTCTGGGTCGCAAACCACAGGTTGAGAACCACTGTTATACAGAAACTATTCATGTTACCAGGTAAATCATGACTAGTCAGCAATATATCAACAATATTAAATCTTCCAACCCATGAATATGGGCTGTCTTTCCATTTATTTGTATCTTTATTTCTGTGATAACTTTGTAGTTTTCAATGTACATGTTTTTTTCTTTCTTATTTAAATGTTTTATTCTTTTTGATACTATTGTAAGTGGAGTTATCTTTTGTAATTTCCTTTTTGGATTGTCCATTGTTAGTGTATAGAAATGCAACTGATTTTTGCATGTTGATTTTGTATCTTAAGACTACCCAATTTGTTTTATTAGCTTTAACAGTTTGTGTGTGTGTCTGTAATCTTTATAGAGTTTTCTACATATGAGATTATATCATCTTTGGACAGAGATAATTTTACTTCTTTTTTTTTTTTTTTGAGACAGAGCCTCAAGCTGTCACCCTGGGTAGAGTGCCATGGCATCACAGCTCACAGCAACCTCCAATGCTTGGGCTCAAGCGATTCTCCTGCCTCCGCCTCCCAAGTAGCTGGGACTATAGGTGTCTGCCACAATGCCTGGCTATTTTTTGGCTGCAGCCATCATTGTTGTTTGGCAGGCCCAGGCTGGATTAGAACCCGCCAGCTCAGGTGTATGTGGCTGGTGCCTTAGCTGCTTGAGCCACAGGCATTGAGCCCGTAAATAATTTTTATAGTGATGACTTTATGTTATAATTTAATTTATTTATTTTTGAGAGAGAGTCTCACTATGTCGCCCTTGGTAGAGTGCTGTGGCTCTCAGCAGCTCTCACAGCTCACAGCAACCTCAAACTCTTGGGCTTCACCAATTCTCTTGCCTCAGCCTCCCAAGTAGCTGAGACTATAGGTGCCTACCACAGCACCTGGCTATTTTTGTTACAATTGTCATTGTTGTTTTAGCTGGCTTGGGCCAGGTTCGAACCCACCAGCCCCAGTGTATGTGACTGGCGCCGTAACCACTGTGCTATGGGTGCCAAGCCAATATAGTGATTATTTTAAAATATCCTTTTTAATATGTTAACAATGATTTGTAGAAATTTCAGAAAATGTGAAAAGGCACAGGAACACTTTAAACCAGTTGTGATCCCTAAGTTTTATTTTGTTCCCTTATGAGTTGGAGTTCAGTTAAAACACCAGAACCCACTCTAGGCATTTGAGGCAGTTTAATGTAGAAGGGATTTCACACAGAAAGTGGGGCTTCCAGGTACTCAAAGGGCTAAAGAACCTCCAGCTCTTGGGCTTAGGTGATTCTCTTGCCTCAGCCTCCCGAGTAGCTGGGACTACAGTCACCCACCACAACACTCAGCTATTTTTT